AGGGTCACTATGAATTGGCACCAATGTAGAGATACCTAACAACAATAACTTTAAAATATTTGAACAAAGAAATCAACAATGATGAGCTAAATCATACAATGTTGGATCTAGGTGACAGACATTTGTAGGTACAAACTGTTCTGTTTGTTTTTATACTTGTAATTTTTCTTAAAAAAAAAATATATATATATAAAATGAAAAAGAAAGTCTGATAAAATACCTACTGCATCCATGGAGTTCTTATATGATAGGTTACTGCGCCAAAGCGAGACCCAGTGAAGCAGACTTAAAGTGCCTGGCTGCTACTGATCGACTGGCAATTCAAACCCACCAGCAGCTAGGTGAGACAAAGATCGGGTGACTTGCTTCCATAAAGAGGATAACCTAGGAAGGAAGCAGTTCTATTCTGTCCCACGGGTCACAATGAGCAGAAAACGGACTCAACATCATCTAACAACAGTGAAGTCAAATTAGAAGAAAATGGCCCAGGTAAGCATGTCTTGAGGTCAGAAGGACATGTGTAAAAGTCTCTCATCTTGTCTTTATGGGACAAACTATGGAATGCAGGCTAGATAAGTACTTCTCCCAAATTCTACTAGCGAACTATCAAAATCCCCCATATGGGAGTTATTGTCACGGTGGGTAAATGGGGGATTGTGGCCATGCTGTGTACAAGCTAAGTGAACCAGCGTGGGAAGGTGAACGGGACTATATCGATGAATTAGGGTATTTCTACATAGGCATTTACCTTTGTTGCAAATATACCTATGGATACAGTAGAGCAAACAGGGAGCACGGTTATGGAAGCATCTCAGACCCAACCAATCACCTAGAGGGAATAAGTACCAGCTCTGGGGGCTCAAGACCACAGTCTCAGGATACACCAAGGTCAACTGGCACAACACAGTCCATAAAGAAAACATTCTACATCCTAATTTGGTGAGTAAGAAATGGTTGTGAGTGGTTATCTATTGGTCTAACGATTGGCCTCCCCCCATCCAGAACAAAGATGAGTGAAAAAAAGCAATGATGTCGTGGAGCATGGGAACCTCAGCTCTATGACCCTGGGACCAGAAGGGTGATACAGTTTCTGGCTATCACTATATAGACTCTTCTGAAAGGAGTGGCATTCGAAGGTCCTGGAAAGAACAAAACTCAAAATCACACACAAAAAGACTAGGTTTACAGGCCAGATAGCCATTAATGGAACTCCTGGCCTTAGACCCCCTTCAAACCGGGAACTGAAGTCCAACTTTCAGCCCAAACCAGACAGGCCTATAAGAAGAACGATCACACCAGGGCGGCGTGCACACGTTAGAACGATCAGCTCTAGGAGAGCAAGGAGGCAGCATTTGCCCGGAGACAATATTCAGCAGAACGAGGACACAGGAAAGAAGAAGAACTGGAAATGGAGAACACAGGGAGGGAGTAGGACGAGTGCTGCTGCGCTGTGGGGTCTGCAATCAGTGTCATGACACAAAATGTGTACGGACTGTTGAATGGAAAACCAATTTGCAATGCAGCCTTTCCCCCCAAGTCACAATCAAAAGTCTTGTAGAAACGGCACACTATTATTTTTTACTTCACAAAGGGTGAGGATAATCACCACCATCAATATCAGTTCCAGGCTGATTTGCACGAGAGAGAAGGTTAGACACACCTTCACTTGCCAACCTTGTTGGCCAACTGGGACGCCAGCTGATCCTCGCACAGCGTTCTCTGCTTCTCTGCCAGGTCTGCTAATTCACTGCAATGGAATGGCGACATAGAACTCACAGAATATACCCAGAGTTGCGGGTATTATTTGGGAAGTAACATAAAGAACTCAGGTCAGGAGCAGGAATGATTCAGTCAGGACAGATTCTTTTTGGGAGTACCCACAGGCAGGCCTCAGCCTCTGCTCTCAGTGTGGACCCTGCCCTACTTGGGCAAACATTAAGTTTTGTAGCGCTGCTAAAAAGTGCCCAGAGGCACCACACTCAGCTGCAAGCTTCCGGTCCCAAGGATCTTGGCTCTTTGACTTTGGAGGTTGGAATGGCCAAAATAGCCACCTTGCTCTGGGGGCAAAAACATCCATCTTGCCAGCCCTACTGCTACTGCCATTGCAGTTTTCCAAGACATCTCTTACAGCCGTCAGGGCTAAGCTCTTTCTGCGTGCTGGGTCTAGGAGGTTTCAGTGCAAGAATCCTGGGTGTAAAGGATGCACTCCATACCTAGTTCTTCTACGTCATGGTAGCGCAGTGCACCTTTCTAGTCCCCAGGACTGGCTCCCTTTAAACCTAGTGTGAGAGCAAAAGTGGCTAAACTTCTTGTTACTGCTTCATCCACCTTATCTGCACCATCCCTCCCAGTATTATGGCTCTTGTTTGCGTAGTCCCACCCATTCATTATGGGGGAGTCACAAGGCCACTGCTAGAAGGGCCATGTTAAGAAATTCACTTCAGCATAGGCTCTCAAGAGCTCTTGTATCAAAAACAGTAAATATAATATACTTTAGAAAATGCCTCATGTAACTCAAAAAGTGACTATAGTAATCACTAGCATTCCAATGTCAGTGTGAAGGGTTTTGAATAAAAATTGCTTCGGGCAATAGGAGAGGCACACTCTTTTTCAGAGAGGAGGCAAGAGAATGTATGAAGTGGGGCAGCCAAGAAGGGGGTAGAGCTCAGCTTGAAGAAGGTGAAACCTATAGGGTGAGGATGGTAGATAAGAAATGCCTTCAAGTATTTGACAAGCAACTGTGTGGAAAACAGAATGAATTTACTGTGTATCTTTTTGAATGTAGATATTACATCAAGAGTGGAAACTACAAGCAGGCAGATTTTTGCTCAGTCTAAGTGTGGTGAAGTAAAATTACATACTTATAGCTCTCCTATGAATGTCTCTATAGCTCCCACCACATGATTGAGTGGGGCCAAGCAAAGAGGGTGTGTGAGACATTCTTAGCGGGGACTGACCCGTTTTGCCATTGCTCTGGATACAAGAGCCATCCCCGAAGAGGAAGGAGAGACTCCTGCAACCAGCAAGGACGAAGAGGCCCCAGTGAAGAGCAAGCAACATGGTTGTCTAAAGTGGCAGAGCCACCAGAGGCTGAAGTACAGTACCGAGGACATGGAAAAGGGCAGAAGGCTGTGCTGAGACCTTAAGACAGAGCCTAGGAGCAGTGCTGAGGCCACGCCCGAGAAGGCGAGGCGGAGCAGTGGGTGGGGTTCTGGTTCATGGAGGCAGAGGACAAGGGGCCACATGGCTGAAAGGTTAAAGGGAAGAGACACCCACACCAGCAGCATGGCTTAGAGGTTTTGTGGAAAAAACAAAACAATACTGCATTCTTATCATAATTGTGAGCATGCTCTGTGGGTTCGACATGGCCACTGCAGTAAGTTACTGAACCCATCAGAGAAGCAGAGAAGAGCCATGGTGTTAAAGTGTTAAAGACTGGAGTCAGAATAAGGTAAAGAAGGATGGAAGGTGGAGGTATGTCTGACCTCTCTCGTGCAGCAATCGGCCTTGCGCTGGTGTGAAAATAAAACATAGTCTCTCTCTCCCGACTGAAGCCAGAGCAGGTCAGATGTGGTCCCCATGCCATTTCCTCAATAAGTAAGGACTTTATAACAATTCCCAACACCGAATTTGAAAAGTCATATGCAAGCAAATCTTCCAACCCATTGTAAGCAAAGGAAGGTGAACTGCTTGTATGGTCATTTTAATGATCAGATTCTATTATCAAGTTATCTCTACACTATCAATAAGCTCAAATTTATAGCATCATTATTTTTTAAAAAAAATCTTCACTTATTATATATGTATTAAATAGTTGCTCTGTCTGCACCATTACATTAGGTGCTGAGAAAGTGAAAACAAATATAAAACGTAATCCCTGATCCTAAGAAGCTTATTATCAAGGAAGACAAGATTATGTGTACATATATAGTGCACATTATTTTGCTGAGACCTTGTTATAAGGTGATAGCATGGAATGAGGATGTGATCCAGTTAAAATTTTCATCTGCTTGCCTTGGCCATCTCTTACGTGTCCTTTCTCTGGGTTAGGCTATCTGTCTGTCTAAGAATAAACTGATTCAGTGATTGTGAAAATACAAGTAAAATATTTTGTCTGTGCTGTGAAGCCTTTCTTGGCCTGGACACAAGACAATGGGACTTTATCTTCCAATTTCTCAGCTAGCCCTCTCAAATAGCCTCCAAAGCTATTATGCAATGAACGAAGCATCTGAATGATCAAATAGTCCTTAAAAACACAATATTCAGCAAATCAACATTCAAATTGCATGTAACCATTGGTTACTAAACTCTTTCTATCTTTGAAGAAACTTATTCAACAGCAAGCATTCATTAATCTAAATGCAACTTAGTATTAAAAAATTTCAGAACTAGAAGGTAAGGGCAAGAGATAAAACTCACAACACATGGAACCTAGGAACAGGAATGGGAATAGCGGTCCCAAAAGGGTAGGAGAAAGGGCCCACCGATCGCAATGAATGGCACATAGCCACACACCCCAATCAAGGGGGAAGAACAAAGGGAGACAGCGGTCGGTGTGAGATTTGAAAATAATTAACAATCTACAATCTATCAAGAGGCAATGAGGGTTGGCGGGGGAGGGGAAAAAAAGAGGAGCTGATCTCAAGGGCTCAATGGAAAGTAAATGCCTAGAAAAGAACGATGGAATATATGTACGAATATGTCAGATACAACTGATGTATGGATTGTAACAAGAGTTGTAAGAGTCCCCAATAAAATGATTTAAAAAAAATAAAGAGATATAACTGGTATGTCGAGGACTATAAACTTACCAGGTACAGTGGAGGAAAAATACTACTGCATTATAGTGATACTTAATGATATGACTATAGAGTAAAACATCAAAACAATTACATTTGATGAAGTCACCCTTAAAGAAGTTTTGAAAATCAAAGAGGGTTTGTGTGAACCATTTCAGTTCTTCCCTCAAATATCCTGAAAAGAACTTGTGAGAAGCTGACCTGAGACTGCTGAAAAAGGGTGCTCTTTTCCGGGCTGATGCCACAGGCCAGAAGAGCAGCAGTCATGTCAAGGATGCTCTGCCGCAGGGCAGCTGGGTCTTGTGGAGCAGTGATGGAGTGGAGATCCACAATGCTGTACAGCACAGAACCGTACTCATCCTGTAGTTTCACCCAGCTCTCAATGGCTCCCAGGTAATTGCCGAGGTGGGGGATTCCTGTGGGCTGAATTCCAGAAAATATCCGCTCCATGCCATCTTTCTGAAACAAAGAATGGCAAACATGTGGACATTGAGGCTGAATTCATGAATCCCCTTGCCCATATTACTATAGCTGCTAATATTGTGTAATTCCCTTAAACAGACCAACTGTGCAAGATCATAGGTGAGATATTAGGAGACATAAACTCTCTAGTATTACTTCTGGATCAAATTATTTAACGTTTTTGTGCTTCAGTTTCCTTTTCCTTTTAGAAAAATCATATTTTTATAAGGAATAAATAATGCACTACTTTAAAAAAGATCTAATTACTTGCACATAAATATTTATGCATACACGTAAGAGATCAAACTGGAAAGCATATGTACATTTAGGTCTGTATCCATTGGGGTAGGGGCCCCCGTTATAGAATGGTTATGAGATGGGCTGCTAACCAGAAAGCCAGTAGTCTGAAACCAGTAGCCGCTCCTTAGGAGAAAAGAGGGGTTTTCCCACTCCCATAACGAGTCAGTCTCAGAACCCCACAGGGCAAGTCTACCCTGCCCTGCAGGGTCACTATGAGTTGGAATCTACCCAATGGCAGTGAGTTTGGTTTTTATCCATTAGAGATTTTTTTTTTTTTTTTTGGTTTGGTTTGGTTTTAACATATGGTGGGAAGTGGGCATCTAGTTTTGCTTTTTCTTTATGAACACCTGACTGTTCCCATACTATTTACTAAAAATACTCTTTCCCCACTGCTCTGGAATTCCATTGCTGTCATAAATCAAGTATTCATATACACGGGCACTTGATAAGCACAGCTTTCTGATTTATCCCAAGTCCTGGCAGTGTTGCCGGGTAAGCACTGGCTTGCTAGTTGCAAGGTCAGCAATTCAAAGCTGCCAGTTGCTCTGTGAGTAGGAGGAGAGACTTTCTGTTCCCATAAAGATTTTATAGCCTCAGAAACCCTGTATAAGGTCATTTTGAGAGAACAGACATCTTTATAACATTGGGCTCTCCAATCCTCAACCATATAGCTTGCTAGATCTTTGATCTTTACATCTAAGAGTAGGCTCCAGATAGCTGATTCGCTGTAGATATGCGAGTGCCAATGCTACTTAGGATTTGACCTTCTCTTTCTCCAATAATCCAAATCCTTATACTTAATAAATAAGGATAAATACTTATTTCTCCAAATAAAAAACTTCTCTCCTATACCTATGTTCATTTTCCACTCCTAAGAAGGGTCAAAATAAACTAACCCAAAATGAAATCCTAAATCCATAGTCATTGAGTGGATCCTAACTGCTAACAACTCTATAAAAGGTTTTAGAGATTGTAAATCTTCATGGAAGCATAGTGGAGTAGCTGGGGGGTTTGAACTGCTGGCCTCTGGGTTAGCAACCCAATACTTAACCCAAAGGTTTTCTTACTCCCAAAACGGTAGTCCTTAAAATGGGTATAGTGGTTATGTGTTGGGCTTCAATCACATGGTGGTTTTGATCTGCATGGTATGCAGTTCGAAACCACCAGCAGCTCGGTGGGAGAAAGACTGGGGTTTCTATTCTCTTAAACAGTTAGTCTTGGAAACCCACAGGGGTTTGCTATGAGTCAGCACTGACTTGATAACAGTGAGTTTGGTTTTTTTGGTATCTATATAAAATTACAAATGACCCAAGCAACCTAGACACTGCAAAACTTTGTGGTTTTGAAGATATAGAAAGGGAATTTTTAAGTAACTAAAAGGAAATATAGTTTAGCATTTAAAATCAAATGATTTTTTAATATTTAAAAGGAAATTATATTGATATAATTTATATTTAATTATATTGATATAAATTTTATATTTAATTATATTGATATACTTTTTATATTTAATTATATTGATATTATTTTATATTTAATTATATTGATATTATTTTTATATTTAAAATAAGGTGACCAGATGTCCTGCTTTTGGTGGGACAGTCCCGATTTTAAACAATTTTTCCCGGGTCCCGCGGCATTTTAAAAAAAGTCCCGATTTTTGGAAAGAATGTACGACAAGCTAGGGTATACAGTTTTCGGCTGCCATGTGGCTATTTGGCCAGGATATGAGTTTTATCAATGGTGTCCCGCTTTACCAATGTTAAAATCTGGTCACCTTAATTTAAAAGGAAATTATATTGCCTTTTAGTTACTTAAAACCCCCTTTTTAATAGATCTTCATATGACTAAATCACCAATAATTTATTCATAACATTTATAAAATAGCCTCTAGTTGAGAAGCTGAGGCTAGTGGGGGTTGGGGTTTGTGGGGAGGCGGGAGGGAGAAGGTGAAGGAGAGGGGAGGAGGGGCAGGAAGGAGAGGGAGCTGGAATCAGTGCACACAACAGTGAGGCCTCTTCCACTACCTCGAGACTTCACCCAGCTTTGGGTCTTGTTGTGGGAATAAGCAGGGAAACGGTCAGTGCAGTAAAAAAAAAAAAAAGATTAATGGGTTTTAGGGATGGATTGATGAAGAGAGAAAGTAAAGCAGAAAAACAAACTCTGAACTTAATAAATGGAAGAGAAAAAAATATCCAGAAATATTTGACCTAGGGAAATAGAGAGGCTGTTTATGGTCATGTACAGGGTTATAAAGACTAAGAATATTGAACTAAGATCAGGAAATTCCTCCATGGTCAAACTAAGGAATTAGTCCCCAGGAGAAATGGAGGAAATGAATTCTTGAGAAAGCTAGAGGAGAAAGGCGCTAGAGAACAGTCTGTGGGAAAAAAAAACCAACCGAAAAACCAGGGACCGGTGGGAATGGAGCAGACATGATCTAATCCATCTTTCCTATGCTCTAGTTTCTGTGATTCTGCACATTGGTGTGGAGGGAATAATGTTATCAAGAAATGTTTTGTTCCATTTTCAAGGAGCTACCAAATTACCGACTCTAAATGAGAACTGGATTCCTGGTTTTAAAAATATACAAAAAGCGCCCTGCTCTTTGGCAGTGAGTTTATGTTCCTGTCTGTCCCCCCCCTGCAAGAGTCAGCAGGCGGCCTGGCGGCATGGCAGGGGAGATAGGCCTGGTACCATGAAATCACGAGGCTGGAATGCGCCCTTTGGGTGGTGGAGGATGGGGGTTCTAAGTTCAAACGCACTGGAGTTGGAAAAGAATGAAAGCGAAAGGGGCAGGGGCTTCCCAGCAGACGGGAGGCAAACCACACAGAAAACAGTTTCAAGGCTGGCCCACAGGCATGCACTCCACTGGGAAGTCTGGACCATCAACCTGTAATGCCATCTGCAGTGTACAGAGCACTAGAAAGAGGGGCGGCAGGTGGGGGGCCTGTCACAAAACAGGCATGGATTTTTTTACTTCAGGTGTACTTTTTTAAACAAATGCTACTTCCACTTAATCCATTGATTGGCTCATTTGATAACAGAAATCAGCACAGGGGCTTGTTAAACAGTGTTCCAGAAGAAAAGGTGGTGTTGGAATCAAAGGTAGAAGGCAGTTGCCAAAGTGATGGACAAAGCTAAAGCTACTCCTGGGGCACTGAGCATATCCAAAATTCCTAATTATCATAATTTTAATAACTGCACTCAAAAACAACGTAAAATTTCCCAAACTGCTAATTGTGGTAAAGGACTTTATTATTATTACTTTTTAAATGATCAGCTAAAGTGAACCTTTATCTCAAGGGAATAAAATAGACCAATGAAGGCTGCCTACCACCTCTGGAATACTTTTAATTTGGGCATATGGTAGTCACCATAGTCGTGAAGACTTCAAAATGCCATCACGTATTTCTGTTTAGAGTGTGCTGTAGCGCCGTGTTCATTCCTCACATCCATTGCCACTAGTCAAAGTGAAACAAGCAACGCGGCGTGGTTGGCTAAGCTATGGTTCTGTGAGTGGCCTTTTATCGCAGACTGCCAATCATCATCAACAGTATTACAGTATTACGAGCTCATGGAAAGGAAACCCCAGTAAGTCTGTTTAGCTTTCTAGTTGTACACACGTTAGAAACATATTTAGAACTCTCACCCTTAGCGCTTCGTTAGGGTTCTTCAGTGTGTGTTTGACCTGACACTTCAATTTCAATCCTATGCTCACCACAAAAATCGCCAAACTGTTTCAAAAGTGCCTCTACTACCAACCAATGGCTGAGGAGTCACAACAGAAGAGACCCTGCACAGAGGAAGGGCACTGGAGTCATGGCTGTGCGGAGCATGCGTTTCTCTGAAGGCTTTCACCACAGTTCGGCAATGATCTTTAAAAGTTAGCTATTTTTTCCAGAAAGCACCCAGAACCCTGGGTCTGTACAGAGAATGCTGACCCAGCACCAAGAAGAAGAAAAAAAAAAAAAGGATTCAGTTCTGCTTAGGAATGAAACCAGAGTCAAGAAGCAATACAGCGAGGGTTAATTCAGTACAAGAGGAAGCACGCCTTATATCCAAATTAAAATTAAATTTGTGATATAAAGCAACAATTAAAATTCAAGGGGAAAGGAGTATTCCAGAAGGAAAGGGTGCCTCGCAGTAACAGGCTCAAGCCTAACACTGATTGTGGTGCTGGTGCAGGGCCGGGCAGTGTGTCCTCCTGCTGTGCACACGAGTTGGAACCAACTGGACAGCACCTAACAACCACGCCTTTTAACTTTTAAGTTCCTTAAGGACCTGTGCTAGCAGCCCTAGTAGTGTAGTGGTTATGGGTTGAGCTACGACCCACATGGTCTGCAGTTCAAAACCACCAGCGGCTCCCCGGGAGGAAGACTGGCTGGGGTATTCGACTCCTGTTAAGTTAGTCTCCAAAGCCCACTGGGAGTCACTAGGAGTCAGCACTGGGTGGCAGTGACTTTGGAGTTTTTGAAGAGCATATGATAGGACGGAAAAAAATACCAAACCAGCCAATCAACCAAAACAAAACAATTACCTAAACGCATGAGGGTGGAGCTGACTACAATTCACAGAAGCACTAGAAACCCACTGGTTTCCACAGCGGAACTCTCCATGGCCACAGACTGTCACATGTTCTCCCTCAGATTCACAGGTGACCTGGTGTTAGCAGCTCAGTACTTCAGCACTGCATC